GAAGTGGCAGACACATTGAGAGGATTTTTTTAAGTGGCAGACGTATTGAGAGGGTTTGTTTAAGTGGCAACATATTGAGAGGGTTTGATAAGTGGCAGTAGATTTGACAGAGATTGAGTTGATGGCGGTAGTGTTGACAGGGGTTTTTTTCGTCGCAGCGTTGTAGACAGGCTAAATTTTGGTAGCAGGAGAATTCACAGGGCTTTTGGGTGGCTTAAGAACTGGCAGGGATTGTTTTCTTATGGTATTATTGACAGATTGTTTTATTTTAGAGGCAGTAGAAATGACATGGTTTATTTTGGTGGCAGTAATATTGACAAGATTTGTTGTTTTGGTGGCAGTAGTATTGATAAGGTTTGTTGTTTTGGTGGCAGTAGTATTGACAATGTTTGTTTTGGTGGCAAGGTAGTATTGACAAGGTTTGTTGTTTTGATGGCAGTAGCATTGACAAGGTTTGTTATTTTGGTGGCAGTAGTATTGACAAGGTTTGTTGTTTTGGTGGCAGTAGTATTGACAAGGTTTGTTTTGGTGGCAGTAGTATTGACAAGGGGTCTTGTTTTGTAGGCAATAGTATTGACAAGGTTTGTTGTTTTGGTGGCAGTAGTATTGACAAGGTTTGTTGTTTTGGTGGCAGTAGTATTGACAAGGTTTGTTTTGGTGGCAGTAATATTGACAAGGTTTGTTTTGTGGCAAGGTTTGTTTTGTAGTATTGACAAGGTTTGTTTTGGTGGCAGTAGTATTGACAAGGTTTGTTGATTTGGTGGCAGTGGTATTGACAAGGTTTGTTGTTTTGGTGGCACTAGTATTAACAAGGTTTGTTGTTTTGATGGCAGCAGTATTGACAAGGTTTGTTGTTTTGGTGGCAGTAGTATTGACAAGGTTTGTTGTTTTGTGGCAGAAGTATTGACAAGGTTTGTTTTGGTGGCAGACGTATTGAGAGGGTTTGTTTTGTGTGGGAGACGTATTGACGGGGGTTGTTTAAGTGGCCGACGTATTGAGAGGGTTTGTTTAAGTGGTCGACGTATTGACAGGGTTTGTTTTGTGTGGCATACGTATTTACAGGGTTTGTTTAAGTGGCGTACGTATTGAGAGGGGTTGTTTAAGAGGCAGACGTATTGACAGGATTTGTGTAAGTGGCAAACGTATTGAGAGGGGTTGTTTAAGTGGCAGACGTATTGACAGGGGTTGTTTAAGTGGCAGACGTATTGACAGTATTTGTTTAAGTGGCATACGTATTGACAGGATTTGTGTAAGAGGCATACGTATTGAGAGGGGTTGTCTAAGTGGCAGACGTATTGACAGGGGTTGGTTAAGTGGCAGCCGTATTGACAGGATTTGTTTAAGTGGCAGACGTATTGACAGGGGTTGTTGAAGTGGCAGACACATTGAGAGGATTTTTTTAAGTGGCAGACGTATTGAGAGGGTTTGTTTAAGTGGCAACATATTGAGAGGGTTTGATATGATAAGTGGCAGTAGATTTGACAGAGATTGAGTTGATGGCGGTAGTGTTGACAGGGTTTTTTTTCGTCGCAGCGTTGTAGACAGGCTAAATTTTGGTAGCAGGAGAATTCACAGGGCTTTTGGGTGGCTTAAGAACTGGCAGGGATTGTTTTCTGATGCTATTATTGAAAGATTGCTTTATTTTGGTGGCAGTAATATTGACAAGATTTGTTGTTTTGGTGGCAGTAGTATTAACAAGGTTTGCTGTTTTGGTGGCAGTAGTATTGACAATGTTTGTTTTGGTGGCAGTAGTATTGACAAGGTTTGTTGTTTTGGTGGCAGTAGTATTGACAAGGGGTGTTGCTTTGGTGGCAGTAGTATTGACAAGGTTTGTTTTGTGGCAGTAGTATTGACAAGGTTTATTTTGGTGGCAGTAGTATTGACAAGGTTTGTTGTTTTGGTGGCAGTAGTATTGACAATGTTTGTTTTGGTGGAAGTAGTATTGAAAAGATTTGTTGTTTTGGTGGCCGTAGTATTGACAAGGTTTGTTTTGGTGGCCGTAGTATTGAAAAGGTTTGTTTTAGTGTCAGTAGTATTGACAAGGTTTATTGTTTTGGTGGCAATAGCATTGACAAGATTTGTTATTTTGGTGGCAGCAGTATTGACAATGTTTGTTTTGGTGGCAGTAGTACTGACAAGGTTTGTTGTTTTGGTGGCCGTAGTATTGACAAGGTTTGTTTTGGTGGCCGTAGTATTGAAAAGGTTTGTTTTAGTGTCAGTAGTATTGACAAGGTTTGTTGTTTTGGTGGCAATAGCATTGACAAGGCTTCTTTTGTGACAGTAGTATTGATAAGGTTTGTTTTGGTGGCAGTAGTATTGACAAGGGGTGTTGTTTTGGTAGCAGTAGTATTGACAAGGTTTGTTGTTTTGGTGGCAGTAGTATTGACAAGGTTTGTTGTTTTGGTGGCAGTAGTATTGACAAGGTACAAATGTAATGTAAAGTAACAGAATACATGACAAGTTTTAAATGGTTTCTTTAAGTGGCAGACGTATTGAGAGGGTTTGTTTTAAGTGGCAGACGTATTGAGAAGTTTTGTTTAAGTGGCCGATGTATTGAGAGGTTTTGTTTAAGTGGCAGATGTATTGAGAGGATTTGTTTAAGTGGCAGACGTATTGAGAGGGTGTGTGGTAGTTGATTTGACAGAGATTGAGTTGATGGCAGTAGTGTTGACAGGGTTTTTTTTCGTCGCAGCGTTGTATACAGGCTACATTTTGGTAGCAGGAGAATTCACAGGGCTTTTGGGTGGCTTAAGAACTGGTAGGGATTGTTTTCTTATGGTATTATTGACAGATTGTTTTATTTTAGTGGCAGTAGAAATGACATGGTTTATTTCCGTGGCAGTAGTATTGAAAATGGGTGTTGCTTTGATGGCAGAAGTATTGACAAGATTTATTGCTTTGGTGCCATTAGTATTGACAAGGGGTGTTGTTTTGGTGGCAGTAGTATTGACAAGGTTTGTTTTGGTGGCAATAGTATTGACAAGGTTTGTTTTGTGGCAGTAGTATTGACAAGGTTTGTTTTGGTGGCAGTAGTATTGACAAGGGGTGTTGTTTTGGTAGCAGTAGTATTGACAAGGTTTGTTGTTTTGGTGGCAGTACTATTGACAAGGGGTGTTGTTTTGGTGGCAGTTGTATTGGCAAGGGGTGTTATTTTGGTGGAAGTAATATTGACAAGGTTTGTTGTTTTGCTGGTAGTAGTATTGACAAGGTTTGTTGTTTTTGTGGTAGTGGTATTGACAAGGTTTGTTTTGGTAGCAGTAGTATTGAAAAGGTTTGTTGTTTTTGTGGCAGTGGTATTGACAAGGTTTGTTTTGGTAGCAGTAGTATTGACAAGATTTGTTGTTTTTGTGGCAGTAGTATTGACAAGTTTTGTTGTTTTGGTGGCAGTAGTATTGACAAGGGGTGTTGTTTTGGTGGAAGTAGTATTGACAAGGGGTGTTTTGATGGCAGTAGTATTGACAAGGTTTGTTTTGGTGGCAGTAGTATTGACAAGGTTTGTTGTTTTGGTAGCAGTAGTATTGACAAGGTTTGTTTTGGTAGCAGTAGTATTGACAAGGGGTGTTCTTTTGGTGGCAGTAGTATTGACAAGATTTGTTTTGATGGCAGTAGTATTGACAAGATTTGTTTTGATGGCAGTAGTATTGACAAGGTTTGTTGTTTTGGTAGCAGTAGTATTGACAAGGTTTGTTTTGGTAGCAGTAGTATTGACAAGGGGTGTTGTTTTGGTGGCATTAGTATTGACAAGATTTGTTTTGATGGCAGTAGTATTGACAAGATTTGTTTTGATGGCAGTAGTATTGACAAGGGGTGTTCTTTTGGTGGAAGTAGTATTGACAAGGTTTGTTTTGGTGGCAGTAGTATTGACAAGGTTTGTTTTGGTGGCAGTAGTATTGACAAGGTTTGTTTTGATGGCAGTAGTATTGACAAGGTTTGTTTTGGTGGCAGTAGTATTGACAAGATTTGTTTTGATGGCAGTAGCATTGACAAGGTTTGTTTTGTGACAGTAGCATTGATAAGGTTTGTTTTGGTGGCAGTAGTATTGACAAGGGGTGTTGTTTTGGTGGCAGTAGTATTGACAAGGTTTGTTGTTTAGGTGGCAGTAGTATTGACAAAGTTTGTTTTGTGGCAGTAGTATTGATAAGGGGTGTTGTTTTGCTGGCAGAAGTATTAACAAGGTTTGTTGTTGTGGTGGCGGTAGTATTAACAAGGGGTGTTGTTTTGCTGGCAGAAGTATTAACAAGGTTAGTATTGACAAGGTTTGTTGTTTTGGTGCAGTAGTATTGGCAGTGGCAGTAGTATTGACAAGGTTTGTTTTGGTGGCAGTAGTATTGACAAGGTTTGTTTTGGTGGCAGTAGTATTGACAAGGTTTGTTTTGGTGGCAGTAGTATTGACAAGGTTTGTTTTGGTAGCAGTAGTATTGACAAGGTTTGTTTTGATGGCAGTAGTATTGACAAGGGGTGTTGTTTTGGTGGAAGTAGTATTGACAAGGTTTGTTTTGGTGGCAGTAGTATTGATAAGGGGTGTTGTTTTGCTGGCAGAAGTATTAACAAGGTTTGTTGTTGTGGTGGCGGTAGTATTAACAAGGGGTGTTGTTTTGCTGGCAGAAGTATTAACAAGGTTTGTTGTTTTGGTGGCAGTAATATTGACAAGGTTTGTTTTTGTATGGCAGTAGTATTGACAAGGTTTGTTGTTTTTGTGGCAGTAGTATTGACACAGTTTTTGTTGAGACCTCAGTGTTAGAACTGAGTACGTTCACTCTGTTTGTGAGCTGTGTTGAAGCGTCAGTTCTCAGACAGAATACGTTCATACTGTGTATGAACTGTCTGGAGAAGTTACTATTCAGACTGTCTGTGAGCTGTGTGGAGACGTCAGTGTTAAGAATGTCGGTGAGCTGTGTGGAGACGTCAGTGTTTAGACTGTCTGTGAGCTGTGTGGAGACGTTAGTGTTAAGACTGTCGGTGAGCTGTGTGGAGACGTTATTCTTAAGACTGTCGGTGAGATGTGTGGAGATGTCGTTGTTAAGACTGAGTACGTTCCCACTGTTTGTGAGCTGTGTGGAGACATCAGTGTTGAGACTGTCTGTGAGCTGTGTGGAGACGTCAGTGTTAAGGCTGTCTGTGAGCTGTGTGGAGACGTCAGTGTTAAGACTGGCGGTGAGCTGTGTGGAGACGGTAGTGTTAAGACTGTCGGTGAGCTGTGTGGATACGTCATTGTTAAGACTGTCGGTGAGCTGTGTGGAGACGTTAGAGTTAAGACTGTTGGTGAGCTGTGTGGAGACGTCATTGTTAAGACTGTCGGTGAGCTGTGTGGAGACGTTAGAGTTAAGACTGTTGGTGAGATGTGTGGAGACATCAGTGTTATGAGTGTCTGTGAGCTGTGTGGAGACGTAAGTGTTAAGACTGTCTGTGAGCTGTGTCGAGACGTTAGTGTTAAGACTGGCGGTGAGATGTGTGGAGACGTTAGTGTTAAGACTGGCGGTGAGCTGTGTGGAGACGTTAGTGTTAAGACTGTCGGTGAGCTGGGGGAGGCGTTAGTGTTAAGACTGGCGGTGAGCTGTGTGGAGACGTTAGTGTTAAGACTGGCGGTGAGCTGTGTGGAGACGATAGTGTTAAGACTGTCGGTGAATTTTGTGGAGACGTTAGTGTTAAGACTGGCGGTAAGCTGTGTGGAGACGTTAGTGTTAAGACTGTCGATGAGCTCTGTGGAGACGTTAGTGTTAAGACTGTCGGTGAGATGTGTGGAGACGTCAGTGTTGTGACTGTCTGTGAGCTGTGTGGAGACGTCAGTGTTATGACTGTCGGTGAGCTATGTGGATACGTCATTGTTAAGGCTGTCTGTGAGCTGTGTTGAAGCGTCAGTTCTAAGACAGAATACGTTCATACTGTTTGTGAGCTGTGTGGAGACGTCAGTGTTACGACTGTCTGTGAGCTGTGTCGAGACGTCAGTGTTAAGACTGTCTGTGAGCTGTGTTGAATCGTCAGTTCTAAGACAGAATACGTTCATACTGTTCGTAAGCTGTGTGAAGACGTCAGCGTTAAGACTGTCGTTGAGCTGTGTGGAGACGTCAGTGTTAAGACTGTCGGTGAGATGTGTGGAGACATTAGTGTTAAGACTGGCGGTGAGATGTGTGGAGACGTTAGTGTTAAGACTGTCGGTGGGCTGTGTGGAGACGTCAGTGTTAAGACAGTCGGTGAGAAGTGTGGAGACGTCAGTGTTAAAACTGGTGGTGAGCGGTGTGGAGACGTCATTGTTAAGACTGTCGGTGAGATGTGTGGAGACGTTAGTGTTATAACTATCTGTGAGCTGTGTGGAGACGTTAGTTCTAAGACAGAATACGTTCATACTGTTCGTGAGCTGTGTGGAGAGGTCAGTGTTAAGACTGTCGGTGAGCTGTGTGGAGACGTTAGTGTTAAGACTGTCGGTGAGCTGTGTGGATACGTCATTGTTAAGCCTGTCGGTGAGCTGTGTGGAGACGTTAGTGTTAAGACTGTTGGTGAGATGTGTGGAGACATCAGTGTTATGAGTGTCTGTGAGCTGTGTGGAGACGTCAGTGTTAAGACTGTCTGTGAGCTGTGTGGAGACGTTAGTGTTAAGACTATCTGTGAGCTGTGTGGAGACGTTAGTGTTAAGACTGTCGGTGAGCTGTGTGGAGACGTCAGTGTTAAGATCGTCGGTGAGCTGTGTGTAGACGTTAGTTCTAAGACAGAATACGTTCATACTGTCGGTGAGCTGTGTGGAGACGTCAGTGTTAAGACTGTCGGTGAGATGTGTGGAGACGTTAGTCTTAAAACTGTCGTTGAGCTGTGTGGAGACGTCAGTGTTAAGACTGTCGGTGAGATGTGTGCAGACATTAGTGTTAAGACTGGCGGTGAGATGTGTGGAGACGTTAGTGTTAAGACTGTCGGTGGGCTGTGTGGAGACGTCAGAGTTAAGACTGTCGGTGAGATGTGTGGAGACGTTAGTGTTAAGACTGTTGGTGAGATGTGTGGAGACATCAGTGTTATGAGTGTCTGTGAGCTGTGTGGAGACGTCAGTGTTAAGACTGTCTGTGAGCTGTGTCGAGACGTTAGTGTTAAGACTGTCGGTGAGATGTGTGGAGACGTAAGTATTAAGGCTGTCTGTGAGCTGTGTGGAGACGTTGGTATTAAGACCGTCGGTGAGCTGTGTGTAGACGTTAGTTCTAAGACAGAATACGTTCATACTGTCGGTGAGCTGTGTAGAGACGTCAGTGTTAAGACTGTCGGTGAGATGTGTGGAAACGTTAGTGTTAAGACTGTCGTTGAGCTGTGTGGAGACGTTAGTGTTAAGACTGTCGGTGGGCTTTGTGGAGACGTCAGTGTTAAGACTGTCGGTGAGATGTGTGGAGACGTTAGTGTTAAGACAGTCGATGAGATGTGTGGAGACGTCAGTGTTAAAACTGGTGGTGAGCCGTGTGGAGACGTCATTGTTAAGACTGTCGGTGAGATGTGTGGAGACGTTAGTGTTATGACTATCTGTGAGCTGTGTGGAGACGTTAGTATAAAGACAGTCGGTGAGATGTGTGCAGACGTAAGTGTTAAGACTGTCGGTGAGATGTGTGGAGACGGTAGTGTTAAGACAGTCGGTGAGATGTGTGGAGACGTCAGTGTTAATACTGGTGGTGAGCCGTGTGGAGACGTCATTGTTAAGACTGTCTGTGAGCTGTGTGGAGACGTTAGTATTAAGACAGTCGGTGAGATGTGTGCAGACGTAAGTGTTAAGACTGTCTGTGAGCTGTGTGGAGATGTCGTTGCTAAGACTGGCGGTGAGCGGTGTGGAGATGTCAGTGTTAAGACTGAGTACGTTCACACTGTTTGCGAGCTGGTGGAGACGTCACTGTTTAGACTGTCTGTGAGATGTGTGGAGACGTTAGTGTTAAGACTGTCTGTGAGCTGTGTGGAGATGTTAGTGTTAAGACTGTCGGTGAGCTGTGTGAAGACATTAGTGTTAAGACTGTCGGTGAGATGTGTGGAGACGTTAGTGTTAAGACTGTCTGTGAGCTGTGTGGAGACGTCAGTGTTAAGACTTGAGTACGTTCACACTGTTTGTGAGCTGTGTGGAGACGTCAGTGTTAAGACTGAGTACGTTCATACTGTAAGCCGTATGGAGACGTCAGTGTTATGACTGTCTGTGAGCTATGTGGATACGTCATTGTTAAGGCTGTCTGAAAGCTGTGTTGAAGCGTCAGTTCTAAGACGGAATACGTTCATACTGTTTGTGAGCTGTGTGGAGACATCAGTGTTTAGACTGTCTGTGAGCTGTGTGGAGACGTTAGTGTTAAGACTGTCTGTGAGCTGTGTGGAGACGTCAGTGTAAAGGCTGTCTGTGAGCTGTGTTGAAGCGTCAATTCTAAGACAGAATACGTTCATACTGTTCGTAAGCTGTGTGAAGACGTCAGTGTTAAGACTGAGTAAGTTCACTCTGTTTGTGAGTTGTCTGGAGACGTCAGTGTTAACACTGTCAGTGAGCAGCTGTGTGGAGACTTCAGAGTTAAGTCTGTGTACGTTCACACTGTTTGTGAGCTGTGTGGAGACGTCGGTATTAAGACTGTGTACGGTCAGACTGTCTGTGAACTGTGTGGAGACGTTAGTGTTAAGACTGTGTACGTTCCCACTGTTTGTGAGCGGAGTGGAGAAGTTAGTATTCAGACTGTTGGTGAGCTGTGTGGAGACGTAAGTGTTAAGACTGAGTACGTTCACAGCGTTTATGAGCGGAGTGGAGAAGTTAGTATTCAGACTGTTGGTGAGCTGTGTGGAGACGTAAGTGTTAAGACTGAGTACGTTCACAGTGTTTATGAGCGGAGTGGAGAAGTTAGTATTCAGACTGTTGGTGAGCTGTGTGGAGACGTCAGTGTTAAGACTGAGTACGTTCACACTGTCTTTGAGATGTGTGGAGACGTCAGTGTTAAGACTGTCGGTGAACTGTGTGGAGACGTTAGTGTTAAGACTGGCGGTGAGCTGTGTGGAGACGTTAGTGTTAAGACTGTCGGTGGGCTGTGTGGAGACGTCAGTGTTAAGACTGTCGGTGGGCTGTGTGGAGACATCAGTGTTAAGACTGTCTGTGAGCTGTGTGGAGACGTTAGTGTTAAGACTGTCTGTGAGCTGTGTGGAGACGTTAGTGAAAAGACTGTCGTTGAACTTTTTGGAGACGTCAGTGTTAAGACTTTGTACGGTCACATTGTTTGTGAGCTGTGTGGGGACGTTAGTGTTAAGACTGTCTGTGAGCTGTGTGGAGACGTTAGTGTTAAGACTGGTTGTGAGCTGTGTGAAGACGTTAGTGTTAAGACTTACGTTCACTCTGTTGATAGAGACATAAAAAGTGTAATATCAAAACAATTCATGGTATGGAAAAAAGTCGTGTTTAAACTATATTATTTGAGAAAGAAATTTTGTTAGGAAAAATAAATGATCATTTTCAAAACTAAAACAAAATTAAGAACAAAATGATTAAACGTAAGTTATAATGGTTTAAGTCCGGAGCTTTGTAGAACTATAGTTGTAGATCTGTGTAAGACCAGAGCTTTGTAGAACGATAGCTGTAGATCTGTGTAAGACCAGAGCTTTGTAGAACGATAGCTGTGGATGTGTGTTACACCAGATCTTTGTAGAACGATAGCTGTAGATCTGTGTAAGACCAGATCTTTGTAGAACGATAACTGTAGATCTGTGTAAGACCAGATCTTTGTAGAACGATAGCTGTAGATCTGTGTAAGACCAGAGCTTTGTAGAACGATAGCTGTAGATCTGTGTAAGACCAGATCTTTGTAGAACGATAGCTGTGGATGTGTGTTTTACCAGATCTTTGTAGAACGATAGCTGTAGATCTGTGTAAGACCAGATCTTTGTAGAACGATAGATGTAGATCTGTGTAAGACCAGAGCTTTGTAGAACGATAGCTGTAGATCTGTGTAAGACCAGAGCTTTGTAGAACGATAGCTGTGGATGTGTGTTACACCAGATCTTTGTAGAACGATAGCTGTGGATGTGTGTTACACCAGATCTTTGTAGAACGATAGCTGTGGATGTGTGTTACACCATATCTTTGTAGAACGATAGCTGTGGATCTGTGTAAGACCAGATCTTTGTAGAACGATAGCTGTGGATCTGTGTAAGACCAGATCTTTGTAGAACGATAGCTGTAGATCTGGGTAAGTCCAGATCTTTGTAGAACGATAGATGTAGATCCATGTAAGTCCAGATCTTTGTAGAACGATAGACGTAGATCCATGTAAGTCCAGATCTTTGTAGAACGATAGATGTAGATCCATGTAAGTCCAGAGCTTTGTAGAACGATAGATGTAGATTCATGTAAGTCCAGATCTTTGTAGAACGATAGATGTAGATTCATGTAAGTCCAGAGCTTTGTAGAACGATAGATGTAGATCCATGTAAGTCCAGATCTTTGTAGAACGATAGCTGTAGATCTGGGTAAGTCCAGGTCTTTGTAGAACGATAGATGTAGATCCATGTAAGTCCAGATCTTTGTAGAACGATAGATGTAGATCCATGTAAGTCCAGATCTTTGTAGAACGATAGCTGTGGATGTGTGTTACACCAGATCTTTGTAGAACGATAGCTGCAGATCTGTGTAAGATCGTATCTTTGTAGATCGATAGCTGTAGATCTGTGTAAGTCCAGATCTTTGTAGAACGATAGCTGTAGATCTGTGTAAGATCGTATCTTTGTAGATCGATAGCTGTAGATCTGTGTAAGACCAGATCTTTGTAGAACGATAGCTGTAGATCTGTGTAAGATCGTATCTTTGTAGAACGATAGCTGTAGATCTGTGTAAGTCCAGATCGTTGTAGAACGATAGCTGTAGATCGCTGTAAGACCAGATCTTTGTAGAACACAGACTTAACGCATTGTAAGTCCATGGTTGAACGATATCTGTAGATCGCTCTCAATATGTTCATCTGTCTTCTGCATAGTGATGAATCATTCAAAATCAAACGTCGCTAATAGTTATATTGTAGGTTTAATTGAGATGTTTCTACTACTGTGGTTGGCTGAATAGCGTTATGGTTGCTAGAGATAGACATCAAACTACCCTTAAATATCGCCGTTTTGTGTAAGAGTTATGTCCCTTTAAATGTTTTTTTGTTATTATTTTTTTTTTTGTTCTATGTATATAGTTTATCTAGCTTCTCACTCTACATCCAAAATAAATAAATAAATAATGTTACAAGCACATCAGGATTGGTCTAAATACGTGTAACATGCAGAACCGATACGATATATACTCGTGTACACTCATTTGACAATCTAGCCTACTTCACCGAACAAAGTTTTCCCTGTTCAGCGCACATTGTGTCACAGGAACTATAAAACATGCCTGTTTCCCAATAGTCGTGATGAATGAACAATATCTAGTGGTTCTTAAACCGAGTGTTAACAATTCATCACGTGTATTCATGGGTATCAATTGTGTCGTCAGTAATTGCCTTCCATTTATTTTGGAATGGAATCTTTTTGGAAATGAGATGGCGTGGATTGGCTATATATAGCAGGGTTTTAATAGCTTCAATCCCGTTAGGTATAATTCCCTGTATTGTCTTTGTAAATTGGTCCCGTTCTGGGAATGGATTGACGAAATTATGTTTAAGATTAATATTTAAGACTAAACTTACGAACTGTTTTTATATCTGAACCGAAATGAGGTAGAGTCAGTCGTTTTGGAAGCAGAACTTTTTCTTCGGAGAAAATACCTAGCTACATCTATTAACAAAATAACCATATATTGATAATCACAGGTCCGTTTTGGTTGACGTGAATAACACGATGCTACGAGCTGTTGCCTGTCTCCTTTTGGCTGAGTTATCTCTCGTCGGTCGTATATCGATTCACGTTGCTTTCTAGGGGGAACAACTCGTGGTAACCCCGAAATAATTATTGTGGCTGGCGTACTGAAGTATGCGGAACTTTTGTGGTTAGAGTACAAACAGAGATTCCGCCATATGAATTATGTGCGGTTTTTGCTTAAAGAAGGAAATTAGATATGTTAATTACATCTCGTTGTGTGCTGTTTGTTGTTGACATCATGTATGGCAGCTTGACTTATTCTAAATGGAATATATTTCTTAAATGGTCCCGTTCGTCCCAATAACAGTTAGTTATCCGGAAAAAAATTATGATACGACGGAACTGTTGCGACATCTACTTATTTCTGATTGCCATCCATGATGACCAAGTCTCAGTACCCAGGTGTATAGCATTCAAATTTTGTGGTATCACAGAACGACATTTCGAACGAAAAGTGAGAATATGGGATGGAGGTTAAAAATATCAGGATTATTAGCCATCATCAAACCTACTTAGTACACTCATATCTGGTAGTATTTAACAAGGACAAAAATTGAGTGCACCCTGGACATACTATTCAAGGTTTATAACCAATGATCAAATTAGAAGAATACGATTAATTTGAAGTAAGAGAACAAATATGAGTACAAGAGTGCGGAAATTCTCAGAGAGAGAGAGGGGGGGTGGGGTGGGAGAGATTGAGGTGGGGGAGAGATTGGGGGTGGGGTTGGGGGTGGGAAGAGAGAACAAGTGCCGAGTATAACCAAACGACTTAATCCCCTCCAGAATAACATACGGTACAATTGTGGCCATTCCACATAGGATGTCGGAAGCTTGAATCCATCTAACCATGGATGTTTTGTCGGCTTCCGGTACTTCCTAATTCTGACAGATTACCACACACAGGTGCTAACACCTTTGAAATTACGACATGCAGGGGACACGGATTTCGTCACATTAACTAAGACGCTGTGATCACTGACATGAAGTGACAGATCCTGTTAAAAGACATGCCGACACTGCCCTGAACTATTTTTCAATCAAACTAAACATATATATATTGATCGATTTCATTTCATCAAACGATAGAGCTTAATTACAATTATATTCCATAGTTGATATCTATCGATCGAGGAAGATATCCAGAAACACAACGTAGCTGTAATCGATATGGTTTTAACGGAAATATTGAACGTCGGTTTAATATACGTACGGGAAATGCTATACATCATAATATACTCTACTTCCTCCACAGTTTCCATTGTTTTCTCGGATGGCTTTTGCTTCCTAATCAAAACAGGAAAACTATGATAATCTCTGAAAGGAATTTCCATAGCCAAGATTAAAAAAAAAACCTTGATATCACATAATTTCCTTTCATAATCGGTGAACAGTTTTAAAGGGAAAACATCGGGTATGTTTATTTCTATATTTAGGTCCTGTGTAAAATAGTGTGCTATTATTGTAAACAACTCCGTACGAATTATTGATTCTGTCCCAAAGCCATCCAACAGCAGCAATTCTGTGACGTCACGGTGTCGTAGTAGGTGCGGCATCGACGTAAGAAACGGTTGCCATGGTATAATAGAATTAGTTTCATTCATCTCCTTTTCCATATATGGAAACGTTGTTTCAGCTGCTGGATCGATACCATGAATGGACGTAGCCATTTGGTGATCTGTGATAAAACTTTCAGCTGACGTAGTCAAGTAATAGTACTACGTAGGGAGATCGTCAAACATTGATCCAAAAATCGTGGGTGGTTATTGTCGCCTTTCCAACACTCTGTGAAATAAACTCTTTCAAAGCAGTCGGGCTTCGAGTGTTGAGTGATACCAAAGATAAAAGAGGACACATTTTGTTTTGTGAAGTAAAAGTTGTGTTTTTTTTTACACATCTTGGAAAGTGATGTTTTAAGTTGGAGCGAAATGACCGATTTTACTATGGAATGTACTGAAAATTTAAGAATGGGGAATGAGGTAAGTTTATTTTTTTAATGAAATTATGAGTATCCATAAACTTTTATGTGAATCAATCATGTGTTTCTCTCATGATAAATATCGTCTCGGACTATATATTTATACACAAAGCTCCCAGGTGTCAACTCTGGCAATTTACCAATCAAATATCGCTAAACATCACATCATTTAGCAATAACAGAAAACGTTATGTCCAGTCTGCATGTCATGGCGACCACAGTTCTTGGCAATAGTTTAGGGAGGGCCTGAGTCCATCCATCATATAATGTAGATCGGTGTAGGTCAAATACAGGTCCATGGATCTGTGCCCTCGGGCTTCGTCCATTCGTACCATGTTCTAGATCGTCTTGACCAAAGACATTGCGTAGAATTAGGTATATCGTCACATCACCATAACATACACGATATGGTTTCGAAGAAGTTGAGGGGACAAAATATAGTAATGAGAAAACTGTTTGGAAATCCCAAGCCGTCCAATTTGGGTAGGGAACTCCAAATTTATTGAGATTATTATTATTTTTTAATCTGTCCCGTACCCAGAGACGCATCTGCATCCCGATATCAATTAACTAAAATTAATAATAAAACCAAACATACCTCCAGCCAGCTGTTAGTATGGCGTACTGAACATAACAATGAATAGCCGATCTCGATTGCTCGATGAGATTTTTCAGTGTCACAAAAAATTATAATTAATGCAATGATCGATTATGACTAACAATATGTATGTGTTTATCGATATAAAAATGTTAAACACATTTGTGCTCGCCAATGTACATATTTATCCTCGTACAAATAAACACAAATGAACATAAAAAAGTCCAATATAGTACGATACTTCAGTGATGACAAGATCTTGTGGGTAGAATCGAAAATGCATCTACAACCTTTCAAATATACTGTATGATTTAGTTCTTTTTAAGTGTATGATAACATATTGTAGTACAACAGAATATTGTAAACAATTAAAGCAACTTAAAAAGCATATCTAACGAAAAACTAATAATGGTAAAATACAATGCTAAGGTTATTTTCACTGATCACATATTATGACGGTATCTTGTGCAGAAACATTTAATTCAGTCAAAACTGTCTGTTTCCACACATTAATGGTCTAACTTGGGTGAATATTAGTATTTTTTCTGTAAGGAGTTTTCCATTTTGAGTAGCGTGTCATATTGGTACATGTATTCTTTTCGTGTTTATGAATTTCTATGACGTATCTCTGTGCCTGTAATAAACTATTTAAAGATTATATGAATTACCTGTGATTATTTCTTTTTTTATTTCGTCAGCTTAAAGATTATCAAAATTACCGAATGGTAACTTGTTAATTGTATGCCTTCACGAAATTCCCATTATTACGATACGATTGTGTAATGAAACTACGACACAGCTAGACGAAGTTTATTAACCAATCATAATTCATCTGTTACTCGGTGTATCCAAAAATAGCCCTATCTCTAATCAGCTGTTTTGCTATATCACTACGCTTTCCATACACTTCCGCGCATAAAGTAGTCCTACATGTTGTACGCTGGTTGTAATACGTGAGACCTGACATTTCCCAAAGTGTACATTAATAAGTTGCCTTTCATTCAAAGGGTAAGTTTATTTAATGGACAATGCTTCAAAATAATGAGTATTTTCTCTAACATACGGACATCGCGCATGAATAAATAAGAGGTCGAATGACAATCGATGTGCGTAAATTTTGCAGACTTGCACAACAGTGTGGACTCGTTAGACTGACGGACAGTTTCGCTAAAGCTTTTATTGGAGTAACACATATTTCGTCTTTTCTTTTTTCAGAAAATACGTTTTCTTGAAAGCATACTTGAAAACGGTGCTGTCACCATGGAATGTGCTAACCGTTTTCAAGGTTTGTGTTACGAACAAGTTGTCCGTCTGCATGAAGTGATGGAAGAAGTGGTACCTATTCATGGTCGTGGAAACTTTCCAACTATGGACATTAAGCTGAAGGACTTAGTACAGGTAGTCCGAGAAAAGCTGCGAAATGAAGGGGTAAGTGTCAAAGATGTTCGTTTGAATGGGGGCGCTGCCAGCTACATTTTTGGCACAGACAATGTTCGTTCATACAACGATTTGGACCTCATCTTTGGGGTAGACTTGTCGAACCACAATGAGCTACAGAAAATCAAAAATTGTGTTTTGGGATGTTTATTGGACTTTCTGCCAGATGGGGTCAACAAGGAGAAAATGAGCAGTTGTAGTCTTAAGGAAGCATATGTCCAGAAAATGGTGAAAGTTTGCAATGAACACGGTGACAGATGGAGTTTGATTTCACTTTCAAATAACAAGGGAAAGAATGTGGAATTAAAATTTGTGGATAAGATGAAGAGGCAATTTGAGTTCAGTGTGGACTCGTTCCAGATCATTCTGGACAGTCTGTTGACGTTCTATGAAATCTCCGCCACCCCCATGAGTGAAAACTTCTACCCAACAGTTGTAGCAGAGAGTGTTTATGGAGACTTCTGGGAGGCTTGGTACCACCTGAACAAAAAACTTATTTCTACGAGAAATCCAGAGGAAATCAGAGGAGGTGGACTGTTGAAGTATTGCAACTTGCTCACGAGGGGCTACTCCCCTGTTGAAAGTATTGATATTCGTGCCATGGAGAGGTATATGTGTTCTCGGTTTTTCATTGATTTCAGTGATCTGAACCAGCAGAGACAAAAACTAGAATCTTATCTAAATAATCACTTCAGTGGTGAAGAAGAACTCAAGCATGATTACCTGATGACTTTGTACAGAGTAGTTGATGAGAGTACTATTTGTCTGATGGGACATGAACGCCGTCAAACCTTAAACTTAATCCATCAACTTGCATACCAGGTGTTGATGGAACAGGAGCGAAAGGCACATATAAAGTTCCTAGAAATTCAACAGTTTGATCAGTTGAACAATTTAACTATTGACCAAGTGTTCTTTCACGGTCCCTATTCACCGAACAATGGAAATCAGTATTTCAACATATTACCAACAAGTAGTGTTTTCCAAATCAACGGATCATCATCTTGCCCTTTGTGTCCATCATATATGCAGTGTTCATAGCAGCCAATCATTGCCCCCATCCCTTATTGAGTGAGAAGATGAAACATGTTGGTGTATGTATGAAGGTGAAATACCTTTCAACTGTTCTTTGATTGGTGCAAGTGTACTAGTTCTGATGTTGTCACTTTGTAATGTATCTTCAATTATATTATTCAAATCTACATTGATTGCCATTAATGATGGCTTAATTTACAAGAAGGAAATTGTGTAATGATTATAATATTGCCCGCCTCAGTTGATGATGGAATTGTTCGGACATGATATTGGATGTTTAGGTTAAATGTGTTGAGGTACTTTCCATGATGGAAAATTAAGTTCTAAATATGAAACAGAGGTTAAAGGATAAAAAAAATGATCAATGCATGATCTATTAATTATGATGGAAACTTTCTTTTTTTTCTGTGAGAAAAATCACATATTTCATATGACATGTTCAATGTAAATATCATAAATTTAATTAATGTCTAAAATTGTATAATTAAAATATGTCTTGGATAAAACTGACATTCCGTGAGATTTTAAGTGCAGTTCTAAAAACTTACTTTATAAAGATGCCAACTAGCCCAGGTAATTTTTAAAGAGCTTGTTTAAGCAAATCCACAATTTTTTAGAAATGAAAAACTTGTTGATAGCTACAAAAATGTTTAAAAGGTAATTTACTGCATAGAAAATGCATAATGATTTTAAGCATGAAGGACACATTTAACTATATTTAAAAAAAATGGATAGGTAGCTGTAGACCTTAATGCACTGCAAAGCAAGAGGCAGTTAAAGGGGCAAATTTGTTATTTGATAGGACGTCGGTGTACTACATTTTGCTGTTCAGGCTAATTTAGAATGTGATAAGTTGATATCACCTCCCAATATGGAGATATATATATATATCCAAGGCATATTTTTGATTAACTTCAAGCAGGCAGCAGAAATATTCAGGCATAACAATATATATGTTGTTACAGCCTCTGTCAATTGGATATGATTCCATTTATAATATAGTAATTAGAATTGATCTTTTTACAAGAACTTAGCTGCTGAACATAAGTTGTCATGTGTATGATGAGTATTATAGATTGTATTATAATGAGAGATTACTTGTAAGCCTGTGGCTATCCAATATAATAAATAAAACTGTGATATGGTATTTTTGGAAGATCAATACATGAGAGTATTCAGTAGCTGTATGTCTAGGTATATTAGTTTGTATCCTCCTGCCAATACTACAGATTGATACTAATAGGGGGAGGGGGTATAACGTTTGAAGGAATGAGGATGTGGAAAGTGAACAGTTTCGGGCATGTGCAAATTATATTTTATGAAGATTTAATTGTACCTTGCTATATGAACCTAAACACAGATTATAATGATGTTACAACTTAAGTGATTTGTATTCATTTAGTAGGGAAAAAATCCTGCCTATTTTCATCGTAATTTTAAATCACATTCTAAATAACAATGCAGTGCTTGAATTAATTTAGTGTTTTGTTGCTGAAATTATCTTTCTGATTGTGCTATTTTTCTCAAAGTGCTTAAATTCAGTTCATTAATACATATTTATTTTTCAAGTTAGCTAAAAAAATTTTACAGGTAATGTGTTGTCTTATGGTGTATTTCTAAAGTCAGTTTGTATAATTTGGTTAACTTTCCACCCAAATTTCTTTTATTACAATAAAATCAAGTGAAAAAAACCTTTTACATGACTTGTTTACAACTATACAGTTCCGGTTATATGTTGATCTGATGATAAAATTTCAAACCATTGATTTTAATTTGCGTTCCCAGATAAAATATTTGATTCTACCAAATGACGACTGGAAGTAAACCACTAAATATTCAAGTTTGCTGCAATCTTTTTAGGTCGAAGTTTAAGCTTTCAGATTAACTTGGTGCATATTGTTACTTCCTCTTGCAGCAATGGTGCATGTTTTTAGATGAATAATTTTCATTTGTTGCTTTTCTGTTCAATATTTTTCTGTGATATGAGTGCTGACATTTGGAGTCCCTTTAATCTTTTAATTAAATCAAGACATTGTCTGCAAAATATGAAATTTTTCTGCATATTGGAATGCCCTTTAAAACATTCTTTTTATTTTAATTTTTTTTTTTGAAAAAGAAAGTTTTTTCGGGGATGAAAAAAGTAGTGTATTTCTTAGGTCTTACTTTAGAAAGAAGGACTCTAAAAGTTTGAATTCAGTGACACTTGTGAAATTACAGTGTATGTTGCACTATGATGATAGAAAGTTTGTCTACATAAATCAAACTTTTCATGTACAGGTCTGACAAGAGCAGTTCCCTGACCAAGGATAGCATAGTAATTGCCTTATTGTACTTTTTATGATTTTCTTCATAACTTGGCTGTGTAGCCAATAAATGTATTGTACAATAATACTAAGGCACAAATGTAAATAGCTACTGGTCATATTTTGACCTGTGTGACAGACCATCCTTGCAGTGTGTAGAAAGTTACATATTGCAGCCAAGTATGCGGAAACACCAGCAGAAAATGTGATGCAGAATTGTGTAGCTCCTACTCCAACACAGTAACATTCAGTAATGACAAGCTAGGTTCCGCTTCAGGGGTTATCTATATTATAGTAAAATCTCGTAGATTCTAATTTGGAAATCTATTTTCCTTAGTCATGAATGTTGAAAAGTTTTATTTGCATAGTTCATTAAGTATTTCAAGTTTAGAAGTGATTTATTATGGTGTTAATCAGTATTTCAGTTTGATTTTTAAAAAATGATGTCACAGGTATTTTTGATGATGTCAGAGCATGGTTTGTTACATGCAGTTAAAGGAAGGTTATATTGGGGAAAATACAAGAGATGGGTAGCTGTACATGAAAGCATTTTATACTGGAGCAGACCAGGTATACAAGGGTAGGTTATAATTAGCTGGCAGTATATCAGATCACTCCTTGTAAACAAGCTACCTGTGTTGTGGGAGCTCTCTTGGTGTACTCAATAGGAATAGGCAATCCTAAGCTTGTCGCCCAGCTGGGAGACAGAAATGTGTGTTTTCTGTTCCTAAAGTGGACTAGTTAGGCTGAATAAGGTACATTAAGTTGGTGTTAGAAATCCCACTGTCAATTTCCAGTGATTTTATAGCAGTCTTTGCCAATACTTCATATTTTATTTATTTGATTTTGACTAAAAATACTTTTTATCATTATCATTGCAAGTTGAGTTTTATTTTCCAGTTTTCTGCTTTTTCAATAGATCAGTTTACACTTGTTCTGTTACATGGGAATTGTCACATTTCATCATATGAATATGGTCTATCCATGTGGCCCTTTGATGTCACCTTTGAAATAGTGACTGTTCTAGTAACAAGAGCTAAAGGAGTGAACAATATGTAGATGAGCTGATCATGAACTACTGTGTTTATGACTGTGTATAGCTTTGTATTGTAGTTTGTACAGGTAGCTTCAACTATTCTAGAAATAGGTTAACTACCATTGGTTATTGATTGAACTCATCAGTCTGGCATCGAACATCAGAAATATATACACACTTCATCGTCTTTGATCAGATTTAGCTAGAGTACAAATGAAATATTTACATAGTAACTTAGTACTGAAACAAAAAAATAAGGCAGTTGTTCAAGCATGTGGTGTTATAAAAAGTGTAGGGCCAAGGAATGGTAAATATTGATCAGGAGTGTATGTGTTTTATTATTAATTATTAACAGAAAGAAAGCAAAGGGACCAAAATGTATTAAGATAAGGCAACATGCAGAAAAGGATGGGTAAAAATGTACAATATTGTGCACAAAATTATGAAAGTTGTTTTACCAATTATGTATATATTACACCTTCTCTTTTGAAACTAATGATACTGTATATGAATTTATGTATTGAACTGTGATAATTAAAGCAATAGTTGTTATTGCTTAAGTTTCATCTGATCTGAGTGACTATATATATCTCTGTAATTTGATTTGTTAAGGAGAATCAGGATATCCATTATATAAATATGACATCTGTGACATGTTTTCTGGCTCATTGAAATATCCTGATGCATTCGAATAGGAAATCGTTTAGGAGGTCACTGTCTTCACCATGCATATTCATCACTTTTTGGTTCACATTAAATATTAAATTTTTCGTTTCACATTGCATATACATGATAGTTTTTCAACTAGTGGTGAGAATGTTATGTGATGAATGTATAGTAACTATTCATTCAAATCAGAACTGTGTTCATCTAAATTTTTCTTCATTATACATGTATGACGTGGTCATACAAATATGCCTTTCAAGTTTAAATAATTTGTTTAACTGTCATACATGGCAAGTAATCAGTCTAGAAATAGATGTGCTGGTATTTGTTAGAAAATGCACATTTGTGAATCTTGGACAACTTTGTAGTCAGACAGAATTTTGCAAATGCTCAATATTTCAAATAAAAATAATGAGATGCTATTTTCATTGGTAAGTTTTAACTAAGAATAGTGACATTTCATACATCCTTTTTGTGTATAATATTCAATGTCAATGAAATACATTTATATTTACAAAAAAAAAATCATCTTTGAATTCATTCATTCACATGTTTTATCCATTTTTTTTTTGGCAAAACGTTGCTGTGTGGCAAAGTTGTACTTTTTCAGTTAGTCATGAGCTGGCTTAGCTCGTAAGGTATTTTCAACCAAATTTTAGCTGAACTTTGTGTCTTCTCTTCTGGACAGCTGTCTTGTAGTCTAATCTTTACAATATCTTAATTTAGAACACATTGTTCGTTTTTCCCTCATTGAAAAGCTGATTTGGATGTTTATCAATTTGTTCAGCAGGTGATTCAGAACCTCGAGAGGTTTATCTATCTGGAACAGACTGGGTTCACAAAACTTATCACATTGAGTGATTGTACTGCCTTATATAGCAACATTTGTTGTGTAATTGGGATGTTCACATGATGCTCATTTGTATTACTGCATATAAAATATAGCCCTGAAATATAAGATAATTTTTCTTGCTGGGATAACCTTGAATATTATTTGATCATTCAGATTAATGCTATATATTGTTAGATATGTAAAAGTCTACTGAAGAGAAGACACGAGCTTAAGTTGGATCTACAATCATGTTATTGTGTATTTGTATGTTAAACATTGGTTGATCTATCTTTTTCTCATAATCAAATTATTTATCTAGAATAAAACTGACCAATCTTATTTACATTTTGAAACAATTTTTTTTCTAGTCAAAATAAAATAAATGACATCTGAGATGCTATGCTGTACTTCAATCAATGAAATTAATTTTTCACAATATAACTACGGTTTGCTGTGTTATCATTGTGAGAGATGAGAGTACTGATTCACCTTATGTAGCTTAGTATGTACTGTACATACATATATTGATTGTAAATTTTCTTTTTTGATTTATAACAACTGGTGTACAACTATTGTATAGATTTTGTTCTTTTATTTTATGCTTTGCTTTTCATATGTAAAGGTTTATTCAATTGTTTTAAAAATGCTTTTCCTAGGTAGATTCTGTAACGATAATTTGTACATGTTCAGTAGAGCAGTGTTGCTGCTGTATCAAAACTTGTTACCATGTAATTACCTTAAACAAAGAGTGAAACTACACATGCATTATGATGGTAATTTTGTTTTTGCAATATTTGTTTATTTGAAAAAAAAATGTGGAAAATACTGTTTCTCAGATCATATATGCTGCTTCATTTACCTCAGTTTAATATCAGAGACCTCTTTAAGTACAATGTAAGGGCAGTACTAGCTATTAGTAGTCTTTTCTATTAAATTCGCTGCAGCAAGTGCATGGTCCTGGGCAGGTATATAACTTATGTGGACTTGTGTCTGAAGTTGTGTAAAAATATGAAAATAGAAAGTACATTAGCAAATTTTGAGACTTGGTTGTACTGGTCCGCTGGGCTAGATGCCACTATCAGTCTGAAATATTTGACT